ACATTAAAATAGATGTTTTTAAAGTCACTAAGAGGCTATCATGAGAACTAGTGTAGTGTAGTAGAAGATATGGTTTGGCATCTGAATTGTGGATGTCTAAGTTAAAGATGAGTCTTCTCTTCTCTCATGAGAAGACTCCCTGGAAAAGACCCTGATGTTAGGAAAGTGTGAAGGCAGGAGGAGAAGGGGACGATAAGGACGAGATGGTTGGACAGTGTCATCGAAGTGACCAACATGACTTTGACCAAACTCCAGGAGGCAGTGGAAGACAGGAGGGCCTGGCGTGCTCTGGTCCATGAGGTCATGAAGAGTCGGACACGACTTAATGACTAAACAACAGCAAGTTAAAGATATTCTTTACCACAAAGCTTATTCAATAGTTTTCAGGAAGATCCTGTATTTTAGTACTGCTTCCATAGTTTTGAGTGACTGAAAAGTTTCTGCACCCTCCTGATTTTAAATTATTTTAATTGAACAGTGTGATGCAGTGTGAATCACGTGGCCTTCCAGGTATTGATGAATGGCTGCTCTCATATTCCTTTATCATTGGCTGTGCTGGCTAATGATGATGGACGTGACAGCATTTCAAGGGTCATACATTGCAACACCAGCTGCAAAACAACAACAACAACAACACAGAAGTTACATTTGGGGTCATACATTGCAACACCAGCTGCAAAAAAACAACAACACAGAAGTTACATTTGCAGTTGATGTGGACCCAGTTGGATGCAAGTAGGACAATATACAGTATCATCATTTCTTTATTTCGCTGATTTATATACTGCTCCATTAGTGCATGCACTACTCTGGATGGTTTACAAATTAAAATCTCACAGACCCCCTATGTAATAATACATACAACAATATGGCAATTTAAAAATGATACAAAAGAGAAAAGAGAGAACGAGAAAAGAAAAAATATTAATATAATATTAACAGAAACTCAGTTGTTGAAGGCAGGTCTGAGTAGTTCTGTTTTCAACAATTTTCTGAACATGAGGGAAGGAATTGGTCATATCTCGGTTGGTTACTGATTCCAGAGACTGGGGGCCACCAACAAGAAAGTCTCATTCCTTGCCTTCACCTTTCTGGTTTCCTTTAGTGTGGCCACTTTTAGCAACGTGGATTGAAAGAAGCAAGTAAGACAGGTAGCTGATTTCTGGGAGAGACGTGCCAAGAAGTACTGAGGTTTTACTATGTTGCTTTTCTTACTCTTAGTATGATTTTTAATTAATGGCTTGTGGTTTCCAAGGGAGGGGCAGGTCAACCCTATTCCTCAAAGGAAGAGCTAATCAGCTCAGAGGAGTTGCATGACTCAGCCTCTGCTCTAAACCTGTCAGTGGCTGAAATGTATTCGTAAAATGTTATGCTGTACAATTAGGATGATGCCATCCCCCGTTGTGGTGATATTTAATTTAATTGAAAACTTTCTTCAGTTTTTGAGGCTCTCTAGAGTTCACTTTGGACAGGGAAAGCCTTTGGGAGACTTGGAATGATGAGGATGGAAATAGCCAAAGCTTACTGCGCCAGGGATCAGGACAGACACTGCTGATGCGATGGCAGGTTGTTGTTTTTTTTTGTTAATGAAAGGCTCCGTTCTCTATCCCAAGATTGCCATAAGCTTTGCAGGTCAATATGGAGTCAGTGGGCACCTTGGGTCCTGATAGGGAGAATGAAATGAAATGAATTATTATAATCTTAGCCTGATGACATCATCCTTGTTGTGTGATGTGAAGTTATGCCAACAGGATTTTAGCCATTATCTGGTACCTGTTCTCATTTCCAAGATCAAAAGGAGGCAAGAATCGCTAATGCTCACTGTAAACCTTAAAGTACTGTAGAAATTGTTACGATTTAATCTCTTAGTGGAGTGCATGAGAACAATTTATGGACTCTGTGGGTGAATTTTAGCAATTTGTTAAAGCTCTTCGATTCCTTTTGATTGTTTTACACCATAATCCTCAGGAGGCAAATCATGATAAGCAAAATTATTTGAAACAGAACAGAAGCTAGCAGTAAGGGGAACTCTAGGTGAGAGCGACCATGTCCTTCTAGAATTCTGGATTTCAAAGGAAACGAATGCGGAATGTAGACACACACATCGACTGGATTTTTAAAAAGCCAATTTTAATAATCTCAGAACAAGGATAAGTAAGGTCCCATGGCAGGGAATCCTAACAAGAAAAGGAGTCCAAAAAGGGTGGGAGCTTCTGAAAAAAGAAATCTAAAGGCACAACTACAAACAATTCCAACAAGAAAAAAGGGGGGGAGGTGGAAAAAAGGCCAGTGTGTCTTCACAGAAAGCTCAGGGAGGACCTAAAAACCAAAAAAGAGAGAGATGTACAGGGAATGGAAAGAAGGCCAGGTCACCAAGGGAGAGTACAGAGAAGTAGCAAGGAAATGCAGGGATGGCATTAGGAGGGTAAAAGCTGAGAATGAGCTGAGGTTAGCTAGGGACACCAAAAGCAATTTTAAAAAATTCTTCAGGTATGTGAGTAGCAAAAGACAACAAAAGACATAGTGGCACAGCTACACAATGGAGATGGGAAGATGATAACAGTTCAGTCTTTTCCCATAAGACAGATGTATGAACTTTCAAACGGATTGGAAGTGCAAGTGGGGGAACAGGATAGCAGCTGGAGATAGATAAACACATAGTCAAGGAATACTTTACTACCTTGAACGAGTTCAGATCTCCAGAGCCAGATGAACTGCATCCAAGAGTACTGAAGGAACCGCCTGAAGAACTCGCAGAACCACTATCCATTATTTTCTTGAAATTATGGGAACCGCGTGAGGTGTTACAGGACTGGAGGAGTGCCAATGTTGTCCCTATCTTGTATTTTGTGTTGTAAGCCGCCTAGAGTGGTCGTAACGACCAGATAGGCGGGGTATAAATGGAATGAATGAATGAATGAATGAATGAATGAATGAATGAATGAATGAATGAATGAATGAATAAATAAATAAATAAATAAATAAATAAATAAATAAATAAATAAATAAAT